AAGTTTTCCCATATCGGAAATGGAAACTTATCTATCATCGCTGTGTCGGTTTTTTTTTCTTTTTTTACGGAGGCCCACCTTTGGTGAGGTCACCGTATTGTATTCGACATTTTTTTTTGGAAAATTTTTTTTGCTTAAATATGCTTAAAATAGCATGAAACGTCGAGAAAAGTGGAAAAAATGGACTTCCATTTTTCCGTCGCCTTTCAACCCTGTCTGTCTGTATGTCTGTATGTATGTCTGTATGTCTGTCTGTCTGTAACTTTTTTTTTGTTAACTTTTCTGAGAATTCTTATCAGGAATTTTTCTGAGAATTCTTATCAGGAATTTTTCTGAGAATTCTTTCTAGAGTATTTCCGAGAATTCTTTTGAATAGGACGATCGGTGCGCGTGTGGGAGAGTGAGTGGAAGACCAAGGACAGTCGGAAGGTCCATGGACAGTCGGAAGGTCCATGGACAGTCGGAATGTCCATGGACAGTCGGAAGGTCCATGGACAGTCGGAAGGTCCATGGACAGCCGGAAGGTCCATGGACAGTCGGAAGGTCCATGGACAGTCGGAAGGTCCATGGACAGTCGGAAGGTCCATAAACAGTCGGAAGGTCCATGGACAGTCGGAAGGTCCATGGACAGTCGGAAGGTCCATGGACAGTCGGAAGGTCCATGGATAGTCGGAAGGTCCATGGATAGTCGGAAGGTCCATGGGCAGTCGGAAACTCCACACCGGCCGGAGTAACTTAAAATTATGCGTTAGCATAATTTGAAGCTCCCCATGTGGAGCTTCCCCATCTCCAATTTATTATTAAAGACTTAACAACGACAAACCCAGCTTTCATCAACATTTTTTCTCGGTTTTTTTTTGTATTTCGGGAAGAAAATGTTCTTTTCCAAGAATGTATATACAAATAAATGGAGCAATTTCTTACTCTACTTTTGAAAGAAGAAAAAAGAAGAATATTCGATATATTTAGAGCACACCATTGAGTCGTTCGCTTATGATGAGGTTAGTGTAGTGATGAAAGAAAACTGAATGATACTCTTTATATTAAAATTTTCTTTTCTTCTTATGTTCTAATTTCATCAACTTTTGATAATCTTCAGAGATTATTGAAGACAAAATATTTATTGCTAAGTTCTGAGATATTTTCTAAATGACAACATCATGTTAGAGGTATCTTTATGTTATCAACTTAGAAAAGAAGGAAGATTTAACTATCAAGAATACAAAGGCCTCACTAGAGAGATTTTCTGTAAAGAAGAACTTTTTCTAGATCCAGAAAGACTTTCAAATGATCATCTACTGGAAGTTAGGTGATTTTAAACAATTCATGAAATAGCAGTATTAATTTATGATTTCCACAGACAGAGAATCTCCGAACTAAACGATATTTTGATGAAGAAAATATTAACAAATAAGACGAAATGAAATGAAAGAGCATCAAATGTTCATGACGCAATGTCATAGGCTTTAAATTAATCTTAAATTTTAATCAAAACTGCAACTCGAACCGAAGTGTAGAATAAATGTTTAGATCCAGTAAGTGACTACAGCGAAAAATTATTTAATGATATTCATCATAAAAGCACATCAACATCGAATGCATGTTCAAACTCAACATTTTTCAAATATTCCGTTTTTTTCCTTCTTTTATTTATTTACGGAAGCAACCGACTTGAATTGTTGAGTTGTTGTTGGAAACTTTTCATGGTGTTTATTTCTTCAATATTCAGGACCCTCAATATACAAAGTGACCCCTTATTAGAGCTACCTAGATTTTTACTTTAATACAATTTCTAGTATTTCTACAATAGCCGAGCTTTACACGATATTACCTGCAGTGACTAAATTTCTTTAAAATCCAATTTATATTTAATTAATTCTATGATTGCGAGGATCAGATTCAATTTTTCTTTTGTTTTTATTTTCTTCAAATGAATATATATATGAAATCTCGAAATACTAGTAGCGATAAATTTGTTTTGCGAACATAAGACGAACTTGTGTAGGCTTAGGCGTTTAAACATTTTCTGAGTGAAATTTCTCTAGAAATACGGCTTATGAAAACATCTTGGGAAATTTGCAGCGACCAAATCCAAAAATAGGGGAGAGTTTCAGCGTAATCCAGAGAAAGAGAGAACTTGAATTCTCAAATGCTTTCTTCACTCATAAAAGATTCGCTAAGAGTTAAAGGATACAAAAAAATGAAAAAAACACACATGTGAAACAGAATTAAGAAAATTAAGGATTTATTTGTTAATAAGTACTGCATGCTTGTAATGAATGTTTGCAACATTAATTATTCATTAAAATTTTTAATAATCCCAAATTCAGCCTGTTATACTCTAATATCATCTAGTGATGAACTATCCATTTAATGATTTTATAAGTTGATGTGCTCAGGAACTTTAAGGTTTTATTTGATATGAACATTATTGCCTTAAAGCTTATCTCAAATTTATTTGAATGCAATTTTTTTTAAATTTTTTTGTTTCTAAATTTACATCAAAATAAGTAAATTTATGCTAAGCATTAGTTAACAGAAAGTTAATTTCCAATAAAGCTTTGCAGACGTTGTACATAAAACGAAACATCTCGTACATATTAGAGTTCCAAATTTAAAGATGCAAAAAAAAGGAGCTAAGTATTCAAGTGCAATTGAGTTATCACGAGAAAACTAAATTGATCAACCTGAATATTCCAAATTTTTTCTTTTTCTTTCATAATTTGTTCATCAGAAACATGTAAACATGAATCATGTTCAGAAATTCAGATGCTTTTGATCAGTTTTTATTCGTTTGAGGAAATAATTTCTTAATTTAATTAAGTTTTATATGTATATGGTGAACTTACATATCTATATAAGACTTAATTAAAAGCTTTAATTAAAATTGTGAATTAGATTATTCTTTTTTGATATTTGTCTTGACATCACACTGAATAATTTTTGTACTTTTAAATTCTACTGCCAGCAGCTTTTATTCATGAATTCTAAACAAGGGAAAACAACCCTCATTTCAAACAATTTTCATCTATTTCCTTCTAAATTTCCCAAGTTTGTTATTCTTCTTAAAGATGGCTCTGAAGGTAGAAAACCGTGTCGAATTGAATCAGAAACAATTAAAGAGAAATGTTATGTAAATAATGGACTTATTTAAAATTTAACAAGAAATGAATTTTCGTTGTTATAATTGTTAGATGCAACAAAAAGAAAAAGATTGCAAAAGCTAAGCCACAAATTGATAAATTGGAACCAAAGCAAAAGTTAATTTTTTTTTGCTTAAATATTCGTCTTAATATCAGCAATATTGCGTGGGTGGATGAAATACTTTTCATGCTAAATATAAATGAAGGAAAAATTTAAAATATTTGAAATTGAACACTTTCTATACCTGTTTAAACATTTTAAAAATAAAAACGAATACCTAACTTCACTTCAAAGAATACTTTTTTTAGTGAAAAAAAATGAATTTTAATCGATTCGAAAATTAGATATATTTGAATGTTTCACTTTTCAATTCGTAATACTTTAGTATATGACAAGGAAAGAAAAGTCAAAGATATTTCTCCTTGAACTCCTCGATTTGTTTCATAGTGAAAGCAGTCATTTCGTTAATTTTATCAACTGTCTCTTATGGCGACAGGTCATACAGATTCGCTGGTAGTGATTTGGTAAATCAACCTGAATATTATCAATTAAGAACAAGAAAAGCAATAATTAGTATAGATATTGATTTTGACATGTGAATTAATTGACCTTATGACGCCCAATGGAACGAATAATCAAATGAGATAAATAAAGACAGCCTTCAGTGGTGAAATACAGTGAAATATACCAAAGCTTCCGCCCCAAACAATAATAACTTTATATTTTAATTGAGATTATTCTCGCGCTTCAGTTGTTGTCATTGTCGTTTCTGGTTCTTGATGATGTCACCATGCCATGGTTAATGGTGATCATGTCCCATCATATCAGATATATGTGGTCCTGCATAATCAGACATAGGTGGGCCCATCATATCTGATTCACCCATACCATAATTCATAGGTTGATCCATATCAGGTGACGTCATTGGCATTTGATCAATCGTCTGCATTTGCTGCGGCATTTGCATTCGCACCGGTGTCATCGGTGATGGCATCATTTAACCTATAAAATTATTCTTCTTGAAGTTTCATATATGAAACTCAAACCATCAATAGAAACCATTGACACTCCCAGAAGTCGGTGGAAAATAGTTATAGCCTGAAGTCATTTGTTGGTTCATTTTAGGTGGAAGAAATGTCATTTGATCCTTAGGTGGGGATAGATTTTTTTTTGAAGGAAGGATATTCATCATGTTCATATAGGATAGGACAGGATTTCACTCGCTACCCGATGCAGGTGGAGAATAAATATTGCCAGGATTCTTGGGATATTTGTAATCTGGTGGTAAATAAGTCGATTTAATATTTGGTGGAAAATTATAAAAATCTTTATGTGGAATATAAGATATTTGATTAGAAGAATCTTCTTCCGAATTCTGAACGTTATCATCTGAAGACACATCACCAGAGGGTAGTGGTAAATAAAGAATTTATTGGTTCACTAGTCAGTCATCATCGGTTGATTACTACTAGTCATAATTATTGGCTTCATTATTAACATTTTGCATGTGTTGACCAGCTGACATGTTTGGAATGTCATGAGAGATTTGAGTATTATTACTTAAAGGCGGAAAGTTTATCATAATTGGTAGTTTAGCTTCTGTCGGCAACCGAGGTGTTTGATATACAATTTCAATGTTTGGTGGAAGGTTTTCGGATTGATTTTTAATGTCTTTCATTTCATTTGATGATGGTCTGAAGACGAAATGCTATTATCATTATCATTCCCAATCTCCAGCTGATGATTGTTATTGTCGATGGAATCCTTGATGGCATCAAGTTCATCAGGTATGTAAGATGAAGGATTTTTAGATGTTGTTTCATCGGGTAAAGGAGTTGGTAAAAAGACGGTACCTCCTAAGTACATTTTTGAGGTGATACCGCAAGCCATATTTGGAGTTAAATAAACTGGTGGTTTCGATGGTGACGATGGGACATCTGGTACAAAGATTGGGGCAGTGAATTTTGTTGCCGCTGATGGCGTGTCGGGAACGACAATGGGTGCATTGAATTTCGTCGCTGCTGATGATAAATCAGCCACAACAATGGGTGCATTGAACTTTACTGAGTTAGCTGTAAGTTGAATCACTTAATTATTAATTTTATTTCCTCCGTTTTTCTTTAAATCTCTCACCTGTTGGCGCTTTATTGTATTGGTTACCTATTGTATGTTCCTTCCCTTTAAATGGGTAAATTGAGTCAGGCGTGTATTGATATCTTCGGTGTGCCGTATTGTACCCTATGAAAGAGAAACAGAATAGAAAATCCGAAGAAATAAAAGGTAGGTCAAATAAAAATAAATCATTTCTAGTGATTCCCACTCGATCCTATTGTTTTTCCATGAATACTATTCAAGTATCATCAACTTTAGCGATATTAGCGGCAACCAAATCGATATATAAATTCCCAATTTGTAATAAATTCAGTTATTTAACTTTTTCTTTCTGACATTCAGTTGTTTTGATCCATGGGCCATGGAAAGTTTTCTTCTTCTTCTTTTTTCTCAATTCAGTGTTGAATGAAAAAGCAAAAAAAATTGAAGCGGGAAAGGAAAGAAAAAATCGAAGATCCCAAAATTGTTTGTTCATAAATCATCAGATTTGATTAGGAGCGGGGGTGTGAATAATGTTTTGCGGTAGAACAACTAGTAGAGAATGGGGAAAAAAGAACGGAAGAATACAATTTCCATTGTGACTATTACAGGTTGATTTTCCTCGATTCTCCAACACTTTTCTTTTCACTTCACTCTCCTACGCACGCTACTTCTCTTTATTATTAAAGGAGGAATTACTGTGAAAGCTCACAAATAAATAAAATAGAAAAAAAAGAACGATAAAAGAAAACTCGTGTCTGGTTCCTTTATTTACGAAGTCTGTGTAAAGCAGTGCTAATGCGTGATTCCTGCGTCTGATGGATGAACTTTGATTTCCCTCAAACAAATCTTTAATAACATCCAACAATAATAAAACCAAAAAAAAAAAGAAATAAAAAATTAGAGTTGTGAATGTAAGCGCGATAAAACAAAATTCTCGTCTATTTATATTGTCAATTTATTCATTTGTGAAAATTTGCGTTATGTGGCGAATAACAACATGTCGAGTGCTTCAAACATGTAGTTGTTACTCATAAATATTCTAAAATTATTCATTTGATATGCATAAAAAGAAATCGATTAATGACATCAGTTAATTTTAGTTTTATCGTGAATTTTATGTTGCTAAAGATGGGAATTAAATTTTCATTTTTCGAAAGCAAAATTTTAAATAATCAAGAATTCTTTTTTAAAAAAGTTAAATTGATAACAAAAAGTCAAATAACTTTATTGAATGTAACTTGTTGATAGTTTTGTTTGGTTTCGAAATCACATTAAGCTTCATATTGCGTGCATTCATTTGATTTTTTTAATAACTTTATAAAATTATGTGAAACAAAATTCCCCATGGTATACTCTTGACGAATCAAAGTCAAAGCCAAATTATTTGATAGTGACTTAAGCTTTTGACCTTCCTTACTTACTTATTTATTAAGTAATCGGGAGAAGCTTTGGAAGTCGTTCGATCTCATTCATATTGAAGTGTAAAATTTCATAACTACATTTTTGTGACTTGAAGCTTCGTGAAATACAATAGTTTAATAATTTAGAAAAACAGTGAATTAATGATCGACTTGGTTAATTTTAATAATTTGCGACAGTTTCCTGAAATTACTAACCTGTTGAGGGATTCATGTAATATCTTCTTCTTGTTTGATCGATTGTGTTACTTTTCACAACTGAATGAGACGATGGATAAACAATTAACCTTCCCGCCTTTTCATTATTGTATCTGTTGCTTTGAACAGGATTCATCAAAAGATTCTTTAATGGAAAATAAAAGTTGCTTTGAATGGCACGTCCTGTTGATTTTTCACTCTTATCGCCAGTTTTCGTTTCTTCTTGTTCTTCAGTAAAATTTTTTATTGTCTCATTGCGATTTTTGATGATACTTCTCGGCATAATTCATAAAGCAAGATAAAAAAATTGAAAACGACGCATGAAATGGAATTTAATTTAAGTTGATTGAAAAAATTTTAACTAAGAGGAAATTTGAAAAATTTCATTCTTTTATTATATGAATTCAATTTGAGTTCACTTTTCGATGCCAAAATTCCTTCTTGTAGCGAAAAAATAATTTTTGATAAAATTTTATTGTAAGAAACAGAAAAATTGTGCAATTGAAACATAAAATTTCTGTAAAAGGATATTATATTTCATTTTTTGGTCTTTAGCATTGACAAGCGAAAATTATTTTATGATGAAAAATTAAAGATCGGAAAAGCAGAGGAAATTGAAAATCAATTTACTTATCAATTAACATTGAATCGACGTCTGTCCCTCTGGTTGGTAGCCGATCAGAGGTTCTATTTCGCATGTCTGATTGAAATATAATTTGATTTCCATTCTTTGAGACACGTGAACGTGAATAAATTTCAACTGCTACATTAAAGTCCACTTTGATAACACTTAACAGTAACAGTAAACTAAGCATCGTTGAATGATAATTCAACATCTCTACTTCAGTTGTTTTCTGTTCCCTTTTTTCTTCCTTTTCACAAATTTGAATTGTTAATGAACTTTATAAATTTTTAATGTCTCAATTATACTCGTCTTTGTGCTTTTTGACACATTAACTTGCAGAAATAAAATATCTCAATTGTAATTTTCTTATTTATAAAGACCTCTTTCGACAATTTACTGTCCGTTCTTCTTTATTTTATTTTTGGGTTCCTTCTATTTATTCNTTCTTTTTTAAAAAAGTTAAATTGATAACAAAAAGTCAAATAACTTTATTGAATGTAACTTGTTGATAGTTTTGTTTGGTTTCGAAATCACATTAAGCTTCATATTGCGTGCATTCATTTGATTTTTTTAATAACTTTATAAAATTATGTGAAACAAAATTCCCCATGGTATACTCTTGACGAATCAAAGTCAAAGCCAAATTATTTGATAGTGACTTAAGCTTTTGACCTTCCTTACTTACTTATTTATTAAGTAATCGGGAGAAGCTTTGGAAGTCGTTCGATCTCATTCATATTGAAGTGTAAAATTTCATAACTACATTTTTGTGGCTTGAAGCTTCGTGAAATACAATAGTTTAATAATTTAGAAGAACAGTGAATTAATGATCGACTTGATTAATTTTAATAATTTGCGACAGTTTCCTGAAATTACTAACCTGTTGAGGGATTCATGTAATATCTTCTTCTTGTTTGATCGATTGTGTTACTTTTCACAACTGAATGAGACGATGGATAAACAATTAACCTTTCCGCCTTTTCAATAATGTATCTGTTGCTTTGAACAGGCTTCATCAAAAGATTCTTTAATGGAAAATGAAAGTTGCTTTGAATGGCACGTCCTGTTGATTTTTCACTCTTATCGCCAATTTTTTCGTCTCTTCTTGTTTTTCAGTAAGATTTTCTATTGTCTCATTGCGATTTTTGATGTTGCTTTACGACATAATTCACGAGGCAGGAAAAAAATTAAAACACTGAATGAAAAGGAAAGAAAACTTAATTGATTTTCGTTGAAGAGGAAAAGTTTTAATGAGAAAAATGTCTACAATTTGAATAATTCTTATTTTGTTGAAAGACGCTGCAATTTCGATTAAGTTAAATGTGAAAAATGCAACTAAGAGGATTAAATATCTTTTCAGTTTTCTATATTATAGTGCATTCAATTTGAGTTCACTTCTCGATACCCAAATTCTTTCTAATATTTAGAGAAAAAATAAATTCTGATTAAATATTATTGTAAGAGACAGAGAAATATTGTGAGATTGAAACATAAAATTTCTGTAAAAGGATATTGCAAAATCATTTTTTAATTAGTAATTCACTTCTTTGGTCAAGCGAGAATAATTTAATGATGGAAAATTAAAGATCGGAAAAGCAGAGGAAATTGAATTGAAAATCCATTTACTTATCAATTAACATTGAATCAATGTCTGTCGCTCTGGTTGGTAGCCGATCAGAGGTTCTATTTCGCATGTCTGATTGAAATATAATTTGATTTCCATTCTTTGAGACACGTGAATGTGAATAAATTTCAACTGCTACATTAAAGTCCACTTTGATAACACTTAACAGTAACAGTAAACTAAGCATCGTTGAATGATAATTCAACATCTCTACTTCAGTTGTTTTCTGTTCCCTTTTTTCTTCCTTTTCACAAATTTGAATTGTTAATGAACTTTATAAATTTTTAATGTCTCAATTATACTCGTCTTTGTGCTTTTTGACACATTAACTTGCAGAAATAAAATATCTCAATTGTAATTTTCTTATTTATAAAGACCTCTTTCGACAATTTACTGTCCGTTCTTCTTTATTTTATTTTTGGGTTCCTTCTATTTATTCACTGGTTTTATCAATTTCATATCACATTTTCTTATGTTCCTTATTCTATTTAAAAGAGAGAATGAACTTGACTTGACTCAACCTCGTCTCCACAACGATTTTCCTTTTCGCTTTTCTTCCCTAAAGATTTCGTAATTTCTTTTTTGTGTACTGATCGCGTCTATCTTGTATATTCTCAAAGACTTGAATGAGAAATTCTTTGTGATTCTTTGCCTTTCATTTTTCATTAGAAATTTCATGGGGAGGGAGAAAATGTTGTTGGGAGGGAGCATGTTGAGAGATTTTCTGAATAAAATGTTCGTGGCTTAAAGATGATGACAGTGGAAGGTTTTATTCTTTTTTAGATGAATAAAGTATTTGACAAAGACGTGAATTTAAATTATTCTTATGCTTTATTCATAATCGCCATTGAAGCCTTTCTGTTGACTACCTAAGATAAAACAACAAAATTTTCCCATATCGGAGATGGAAACTTATCATCACTGTGTTGGTTTCTTTTCTTTTTTTTATTATTAAAGACTTGAGTCAACGAGAAACCCAGCTTTCATCAACATTTTTTCTCGGTTTTTTTGTTATTTCGGGAAGAAAATGTTCTTTTCCAAGAATGTATATACAATTCATTAGCGCCTCTTCTTATAGAAATAAATGGAGCAATTTCTTACTCTACTTTTGAAAGAAGAAAAAAGAAGAATATTCGAGATAATTAGAGCATATCATTGAGTCGTTCACTGATGTCAAGACGGAACCGTCAAGAATATAAACCCCTCACTAGAGATATTTTCTGTAATCTCGAAAAAGAAGAACTTTTCTAAATCCAGAATGACTTTCAAGTGATCATCTACTGGAAGTTCAGTGATTTCCAAACAATTCATGAAATAGCAGTTTCAATTAATGATTACCACAGATAGAGAATCACCAAACTAAACGCTTGTTTGATAAAACGGAAGGTCATAGGCTGTAAATTACTCTGAAATTTCAACCAAAAATGCAACTCGAACCGAACACATCGAGTAGAATAAATGATTAGATCCAGTATGCGACTACATATGAATGAGAATACTTAAAATCATTTAATAAAATGCATCATAAAATCACAAAAACATACAATACATGTTCAATTCCAACATTTTGCAGATATTGTGATTTTGTTAAGCAAAGCTTTTCCTGAAGCAATAAATTTACCCGGTTCCCTGTCGTTTTTTCCTTCTTTTATTTTTGATTTTTATAATTGTTAGGATGCAACAAAACGAAATGAGGGCAAAAGCTAAGCCACAAATTTACATTGTAACAATTTATATAATTTCTGCTTACTCGTCTTAATATTAGCAATATTGCGCGGGTATGTAGATGGATGAAATACTTTTCAAGCTAAATATAACTATAGGAAATATTTGAAATTGAATACAGGAAGACTTAACATTTTAAAACTAAAATTGAAAAAATCAGTTAAAAAACTACTTTTTTTTTGTATAAAAATGAATTTTAATCGATTCGAAAATTATGTTTCAATGTTTCACATTTCAATTCGTAGTGTTTCAGTAAATAACAAGGAAAGAGAAAGATTTTAGAAGTCAGAGATATTTCTCCTTGAACTCCTCGATTTGTTTCATAGTGAAAGCAGTCATTTCGTTAATTTTATCAACTGTCTCTTTTGGAGACAAGTTATTCAGACTTCGCTGGTAGTGATTCGGTGATTCAATCTGAAAAATATTGATTAAGAACAAGAAAAACAATTATTAGTATGTAAAATCAATATTTGTACATGTGAATTAATTAACCTTATGACGAAAAATGGAACGAATAATTAAAGCACCTACATAAAGGATCCAAATGGTGGTGAAAAACAATGGAATATACCAAAGCTTTCGTCCCAAATAAAAATAACTGTACTTTTTCAATCGAGGCTCTTCTGACGCATCAGTTGTTGTTGTAGTCTTTTCTTGTTCGTGACGATGATGATAATGGGGATCATCATATATAATGTCACCATATGGTGAACCCATATTTTTAGGCGTAGGTGGGCCCATCATATCTGATCCATCCATAACATAATTCAAAGATTGATCCATATGTACCGACGTCATCGACATTTGATCACTCATCTGCATTTGTTGTGGCTTTTGTGCTGTTGTATTGCATCTGTTGTTTTGCAGAGGATACATCAAAAGATTCTTCAATGGAAAATAAAACTTGCTTTGAATGGCACGTCCTATTGATTTTTCAGTCTTATCGCCAATTTTCTTCTCTTCTTGTTCCTCAGTAAGATTTTTTATTATCTCATTGCGATTTTTGATGTTGCTTCACGAGATGATTCACAAAGCAATATAAAAAAATTAAATGATTTTCGTTGAAGAGGAAAAGTTTTAATGAGAAAAATGTCTACGATTTTAATGATTCTTATTTTGTTGAAGGATGCTGCAATTTCAATTAAGTTGAATGAAAGAAATGCTACTAAGAGGATTAAATATCTTTTCAGTTTTCTATATTATAGTGCATTCAATTTGAGTTCACTTCTCGATACCCAAATTCTTTCTAATATTTAGAGAAAAAATAAATTCTGATTAAATATTATTGTAAGAGACAGAGAAATATTGTGAGATTGAAACATAAAATTTCTGCAAAAGGATATTGCAAAATCATTTTTTAATTAGTAATTCACTTCTTTGGTCAAGCGAGAATAATTTAATGATGGAAAATTAAAGATCGGAAAAGCAGAGGAAATTGAAAATCCATTTATTTATCAATTAACATTGAATCGATGTCTGTCGCTCTGGTTGGTAGCCGATCAGAGGTTCTATTTCGCATGTCTGATTGAAATATAATTTGATTTCCATTCTTTGAGACACGTGAACGTGAATAAATTTCAACTGCTAGATTAAAGTCCACTTTGATAACATTTAATAGTAACAGTAAACTAAGCATCGTTGAATGATAATTCAACATCTCTACTTCAGTTGTTTTCTGTTTCCTTTTTTCTGTTTTTGTTCCCTTTTTTCTTCCTTTTCACAAATTTGAATTGCTAATGAACTTTATAAATTTTTAATGTCTCAATTACACTCGTCTTTGTGCTTTTTGACACATTAACTTGCAGAAATAAAATATCTCAAATTCTCTTGTAATTTTCTTATTTATAAAGACCTCTTTCGACAATTTACTGTCCATTCTTCTTTATTTTATTTTTGGGTTCCTTCTATTCACTGTTTTTATCAATTTCATATCACATTTTCTTATGTTCCTTATTCTATTTAAAAGAGAGAATGAACTTGACTTGACTAAACCTCGTCACCACAACGATTTTCATTTTCGCTTTTCTTGAATTAGAAATTCTTAGTGATTCTTGGCCTTTTGTATTTCACGAGAAAATTGATGAGAACGGAGAGAATGTTGTTTGGAGGGAGCATGTTGAGAAACAATCTGGATAAAATGTTCTTTGCTTAAAGATTTAGGCAGAACCTTTGCAAAGCTGTAAATTTAAACTATTCTTATTCTTTATTCATAATCGTCATCGAAACCTTTCTCTTGGATAAAATAACACCTAAGTTAAAATAATAAAATTTTCTCACATCGACGATTGAAATTTATCATAGCAGTGTCAGTTTTTTTTCTTTTTTTATTGAGGAGTCAACGACAAGGCCAGCTTTCATCAACATTTTTTCTGTTTTTTTTTTGTATTTCGGGAAGAAAATGTTCTTTTCCAAGAATATTTATACAATTCATTAGCGCCTCTTCTGATAAAAATAAATGGAGCAATTTCTTACTCTACTTTTGAAAGAAGAAAAAAGAAGAATGTTCGAGATATTTAGAGCACGCCATTGAGTCGTTCGCTTATGGTGAGGTTTGTGTAGTGATGAAAGAAAACTGAATGATACTCTTTATATTAAAATTTTCTTTTCATCTTATCTTCTAATTTCATCAACTTTTGGTAATCTTCAGAGATGATTGATGGCAAAATATTTATTGCTAAGTTCTGAGAAATTTTCTTAAAATTTAATTTAAAACTGAGTGGAATATTTTCTAAATATTTAACATTTTAAATAACAACATCATGTTAAAGGTCTCTTAATATTATCAACTTACTAGAAGGAAGGAGAAGCTGTCAAGAATACAAAGACCCCACTAGAGATATTTTCTGTCATCTCGAGAAAAAAGAACTCTTTGTAACTCTCGAATAGGAAAGAAAATGTTACGGAAACTTAACAATCGATAACAAAAATCTTACGAAATAAAAACGATATTCCCTCATCGGTGAATGTTTAGACTTTATTTCCACAATTTTACTATTAAAACTTTTTAACAAATTCATTTTTAAGTACTCGGTCATTTTAAACTTTGTTTCCTAAATGTGGCAAGGTTTTGGTCGTCATATAATTTTTTTTCTGGAAACATTAACAAAATATATTTTTGCGTTGTTAAAATGATTTCTTTCATATTTCTTTTCTTTTAAGTTAATTACGCTTCATTACATTTCTTCATGGAAGCTTTCCGCTAAAGAACATAAGAATTTAGCAGGGGAATCTCAATGAGATATTCAATAGTTTCTAAGCTTCTTTACTTCAAATGATGTTCAGCAATCTGATGTTAATTGAAGTAATCTGATGAAAATGCTTTTGTTCTACTTTGTGTTTTAATTTTTAAATTGAGTCGGCTAACCACAACTAAAAGATGTTTATCAATTCAAGCATAATTTGTTCAGAATTTTACGAAATTTTAAATTTATCTTTGATGTAAAGTTTCATATTATTTATTCCTTTCACAAACTTCAATAAATTAAACAATTTCTTGTTACGTAATTTAACTTAAAAAAATCTCTCACTCGCTTCATAAGAAAAATTCTTCACGTCTCTTCATAGATTTGTAAAAGATGGAATGAAACATATTTATTGTTATGTTGTTTAAACTCATCTTTTATGCAACGACATGCAATAACATTACCACAAAGAAAATTAAAGAAGCTAAAGCGTATTTAGTATAAAAGCGGTGAAGCAGAGATTCGAAGGTAACGCGAAACAAAGTTGCATAGCATTGCATTGCTGTTTTACCGTTCACAATAACTAACATAAATAATAAATCACTGCAATTTCATTTTATTGCTTACTCAGGAGCACAGATGTATGTCTCTGCCCTCATCTCATTTTTATTCCCTGGATTGAAAATTCTTCTTCCAGGTTTAAAATAGAAGACGCTAAAAAATTTAACATATTCCGTGAATTTTTAATTATTATGCGCTTTCAAGCGAAGTTGGTGACTCAAAATGGAAACTACATGTAATTTTTCGTTACGGAAATGGCTCTACGATGAATTCTTTATGCCAAATGGAAACACAACATACTCGAGTGAATTCTTTTTTCTTCTCTCATTCATTCATATGAAGGCAAGTGTCGTGTAATTTAGCAGTCAGTTCTATAAAGGTTTCAACTACATTCATTATTAGTTGGCACTGTATTCAAATGTCTCTAGCACACTTTATAATAAATATTTGATTTACACAATTACCTACACAACTTAATTAAAAATTGTTTTAAAACATTTTCATTTCACTATGAACTTATATATATGTTATTAAAAACTTTCATTAGAATTTATAGCACTAAAATCATGGTCTGGTCATGAAGGCGAATGTTGCTATGAGTTTTACATCACGAAACAGTAATTAAACATCTAAAATGCTATTCCAAGTTTTATTTGCAGAAAGATTGAAAAATAATAAAATTGAAAGCTTCAACAAGTTGAGATATTTATTCTGCAATTAAATATGAAACTTCCAATGATTAAATGATAAACACTTTCAAACATTATAAGAAAATAGCAAATAAAAACAAATGTTTAAATAAATTAAGTAATGAAAACTTATTAGATTCAATATTATTGACATTATTTTTTGACATCACGGCTGCCATAATAATTGAATTAATATTTACGGTTTTGGTTTATTTGAAACAGTTGTTGTTTATTTGACTGTGATAAATTGATAAACTTTTGCAATAAAAACACTTGGGTAGCTCCAAACGTTGATTGAATGCATGATAACGGGAAATATTTTGATATTCTTGAATTTTGTAGAATTTAGAAAGTTGCTATGCTGCAGTTGCCCGCACTATGAACTGAAATATTATATTATAAACTTTATGACACCTAAAATCATGGTCATGTTAAAAAAATCTATTTCATTATGATTCCTTCATCGCCAAACTTTATTTAAATTTCTGAAATTAATTAGAAAAATATTTGCATGCAAATTACTTTTAAAGTGTTACGAACGAAATATTTTGTTTGGTAGATGATTGAAAAATAATAAACTTGAAAGCACCCTTATGTAGGTTATTCATATGTTTAGACTGTAAATAAATATTTGCTTATTAAATCCCAAAAGAATAATTTATTGGATTCACAAACCTTCGATGAAATACGTGCTTCTTGCATGGATGAACTAATATAATGTCGAATGTATTTTGCATAGATCTTTTCAAAATATCATTTGTAAACATTTACTTATCAGGTTGTAATCTCATTCGATGTTCAACATAAATATACCTGAAAGCTTGAGTGAATGAAACTTTTATCGTTTAAAATTTCAAAGCTAGCATGGGAAGTTTTTATGTTTGAATGTTCCACCCTATCCCTTAAGTAGATATTATGCACAATTTACTTTATTTTAGTGTAACGTTTGGTGAGAGAAATATAAACAGATATCTTTCTATAGAAGTAACGTTTGAACACGATTCAGTAGGTGTAATATTGGCTTCTTCAAGTCATAAATACTCATGCGATTTACAAATATAAACAAAAAGTCTATGTTCTTAAGGTGATGTTTTTAACTCATGTATTACCTTTGAGCACATACATCATCTTAAATATAAAATCAATTTTCTCTTCACTGAAGTTTATTCTTTTATAACTTTTAATTAAGTTGATCGAAATCTCCTTCAACAAGAAAATTTTCAAAGTTTCAAAAATAAAAATCAATAAAAGATAGATTTTTCGTTCCAACAAAAGTGGTAAATAATTTATTTTTCTTAACTACCAAAAATTTATTTAATCGAAGAATTAGATAAATAAGAGAAAAATGATAAATGGTTTTTGATTCGGACGTAAGTATTTTGAATGAGCGTGTGAAATGATTTTTTCCACATTTTTACTCAGATAATTAAAAGAAATTCCATTTCTGAAATATAAAAAATTGGTTTGACGAATAGATTAAATAATAATTCATGTTGCTCACATATTCCTCGTGTTGAACTTAGTTGAAGTTACAGTAAATGTGGAAACTCAATTTGCTAAGATGGCTGTTTTTATAAGTATAAAATTAGTTGAAATTGTTAGGTTTATTAGCTTTTATGTACAGGAAAATTCAATTCATTTAAAACTAAGTTTTAATGACGTTCAAAGGAAAATGTTGTTACTGACAAAAGCATCATATTTGGATGAAAAGTTTCACATGTGTACAAAATATGAATAACATTTTAGCACAGAACAAACAAATGTCTAGTTAAAATTTAATGTTAGGGAAGGAAAAACTAATTATGTTAAAACTTCTCATAACATGAATATTTAATAATGAAAATATTAATTAACATACAAATTTATTTCTATCGTCGCTTTTATAGATTGTGAACAAAGGATTAAATATTTCTGTTTCGTGCAGAGATTTCCATCTTGACTTTTTATTTTTAGGCTTCATTTAAAAAGATGTAAAAATAATTACGATTCCATAAGTAATACATGCGCATTTTTATGGGTGTAAATTATTAATTACTTGCAGCATAATTTCAATGCTTTTGAGACTGAACAATTGATGTTTTATTTCTTTTGAAACCTACAAAGACTTGCACGACATTCATGTGAATGTATCATTAAGACAATTAAATTTATTTCTTTTATCAATTCGCATTGTAATCTTTTAAAATACTTATTTACGATTCATGCAATGCAATGGAAGCTCTTTTGAATAATATATTGACTATTATTAAATATAGCGTTTTAATGCTGATTGAAAAAGCTCTAATACATATGATATTTTGAATCACGGATTAAAGTATTTTGCATAAAATTATAGTTTAAAATAATGCTCAGTCATGCTTTTGTACATTTCGCACTTCATAGAAATTTTTGAATAAAATTTATAAATAGATAGATATCTTAAAATTATCATAATAAACGTTTCTTAATGCTTTGTTTAGATTTAATCTCTTTCAATTTGTAAGGTTGCATGAAAATGAGATGTGCATGCATTGATATCCTTGTAGCAGGTTACACCAATTGATTAAATACATGACAAGGGAAATTCAAGTGGCTCCTTTTTATGACAATTTCCATTTATTCAGCAGTTAAAAAGTACAAAACTTTAATTATTTAATCATTTCTGAATGGAATGTAGAATAAGTCTTAAAAAAAGTAGAAAGTTTCTATTAACAAGAGTTTTGATTCAAGCGAAAATGCTTGAAGCAAAATCAATTTGCGTCTCAAGTTTTTCTTTTCCACATAACTGCAAGCACCAAGCATGTTTGTTAGCTCTGATCTCAAGTGACAACAATGAAAAAACGAAAAAAATACATTTTCCACTTCGTAAGAGAATGAGAAAAGTTTTCAAATCAAAAACTTCCATGAGAACACAAAATATGCCCTAAAAATAAATGCACAAATCACCAAGATATTCTTAATTCAAATAAAATTTAATTATGTCAGTTGCCTTAAGACCTTTTATTCTTCTTCAAATCTAAATTCTGTTGGCATTTGAAAGACAAATGCTTACCTATGTATATACTTGTAAATATATAGAGAGTACTTCAAGCATGCATAAGAAATGAAAATAAATTTCTTATAATCGTAACAATTAAGTGAAGGAGAAAGTAAAATTTTCCTCCCACCATAGCATTAGAAAAAAATAAGTAATTTGTAACAGAAGAAAGCGAAAAAGTTCAACCAATTAATTTTTGTCTGATAGCGTAAAATTATGGATTAATGGCTCGTTAATATCCATGAAACAGTCTGACTTTCTTTCTTTTTTCTTTTGCCTCCACGAACTCCAATAAAAAATTATTTGCCATTTTCTCATGCTTCAGGATTTAATCTCATTGCGTCACGTTATGGCATTAATCTCAGGGTAATGCTCAGAGAAGAACGACACCGTATTTGGAAGTTTGAGCGTGAGATTACTTCTTTCTTCAAAGCTCACTCGACAAAATCACTTCATGCATGTACATATTTTGAAAAGGATACTATATAGAATGTCACAAAGTTATAGTCATAACACACAACAAAAAAATCCTTTCAGAAAACTTCAACCATGTACATCATTTAAAGCAGACTAAAATCTCAACTTAAGATAAGAAAAATAATTTTATATGAACCAAGAAAATCTTCATAACGTAAATTTCATAATAATTACCAAGATTTCAGATAAGAAGATTTTTGATGAAAGGCGAAAAGAAGAAGAAAAACGGGGAAAAATATGCAAATACAC